CCTTGGCCTTTCTATCCAATCTCTCGCTTGCTCCTGGCACAATATCTAGTGATAATAATTAATTTCTTCGAAACAAATCCGTGACATGTCATGTAACACTTTTGGAAAATGTTTTCACATATTGACTGCTAGGTACTCTTCATACATTTGGTCTTCCTTTCCTGGAAACAACCAGTATACACAACATTATGAGCAGTGAGAGTTCTAAATAACTGACTGAAGTGTCAATGTAGCAGACAAAGGAGTAATACTATTCAACTGTTCTACAAATTCCTTGAATAACATATCATTAATGTACCTGAGCTACAGTAAGGGTTTAAATTAACATATCATTAATGTACCTGAGCTACAGTAAGGGTTTAAATTAACATATCATTAATGTACCTGAGCTACAGTAAGGGTTTAAATTAACATATCATTAATGTACCTGAGCTATGGTGAGGGTTTAAATTAACATATCATTAATGTACCTGAGCTACAGTGAGGGTTTAAATTAACATATCATTAATGTACCTGAGCTACTGTGAGGGTTTAAATTAACATATCATTAATGTACCTGAGCTACAGTGGGGGTTTAAATTAACATATCATTAATGTACCTGAGCTACAGTGAGGGTTTAAATTAACATATCATTAATGTACCTGAGCTACAGTAAGGGTTTCAATTAACATATCATTAATGTACCTGAGCTACAGTAAGGGTTTAAATTCTATTGGTTCAATAAAAGTTTCTTCAGTTCTTGTGGCCAATAAATTTGCATAATAAGGGGCCATCCAAATGATAAAAATAAGCTTAAGCCACAACAACTACGTTTGCATGATTAAGGGACCATCTTGGTCCCCATAGCTATTGCTATAATTGGAAGATAACATTTTGTAGGAGGATGTTTTATTTCCTGAAAAGCTACATAAGGCTGTTGATATACTAACATCATTTTTTGGCAAATTGGTTAATCAGTTGACTCAAAGTGACTACCTTCCCGAAGTAGTTAATTGAAACTATGTGAAACAAATGTTATTAAAAGGCTTTAAAGCTCTTATAAAGAAACTAGTTACCTTAATATATCTTATACAATCCCACAACTACTTCTGACCATACTTTTTTATCTTCAAACTAAAGGTTATGAGCATTAATTAAAGATTGTCTCTAAATTATGCAAATTTTTTATGGCTTAAACTGATTTTTGAAATTTGGACACATGGACCTCAGCTATTTAAAGTTTGTAGAAAATTAAAGGTCCTGTTCAAAATAGCTGTATAAACTTTTGTTTATCAGACTTTCATTTCAATATTCCTCACTTTCAATACTTTTAAAAAACAAGTATACCTTATAATCACATAGTAAGATCATTTAATCTCCGTTCAGCCATACTGACTACAAAATTGTGGTCAACTATATACATAGAGGATATCCTAAGCCTTTATTAAGCAAACAAATATAAAAAGCTATCTAACCTAATTACTATTTTTGTTAATTTTACTACGTTACTTCTCACCATAGAGTTTACAACTAACTCTTCTGGAACTGAAAAATTTGACAAATTGTTAAAAATAAGTATTTCATTCTTCCGTGTCATCCTTCTTTATTTTGAAGTCCTCTGTATCACGGTTTTAAAGATACAAACAATGTAAGTGACTACTTCAAACTTACTTTCTCTCATCCAGGCCTTAAAAATGATGCACATTGTTAAACATACAGAAAAAGCTTTGATCTATTTTTTCCATGCTAGTGTTACACAAGGGTTTTGAAACTCATATGTAAACCCCTTCAGGTTGTAGTACATCAGCTGCTACTGGCTCGTGTTATCTAATATGTTATATGTTTATTATTTCACTCAGAAAGAGGATAAGACCAAGTCTTTCATTAGTTTTTTCTCAATTTTCTTGAAGTTTGTTTTCTTATTTTTTTTTACAACACCCCAAAACTTTTATAACAGTTCGTGCTTTCCATGCTATTTGTTCCAGACCACACCAGCTTTCTGATTTAACTTTGCTATATTTTTTCAACCCACTAGGAAGTCCTTTTTTTCACATAAGTAATATTAAATGAAATAATTTACTCTATTCATAAACATGATCTAATTTTCAAAGATCATTTATGTTTTGGTCAAGTTCACTAAATGGCAAACAATGGTCATGTATGAAAGAAATAGTGAAACCAGAGATAACAAAAACAATATGCATTCATTTTAAATTTTTTTATTTACCAGAGAATAATTTTAAGTTATACGTTATAAAAATAATGTCGTAATTATATTAGCACTACAACTGAAAAATGTTATAGTATATTCAAATACACAAAATTCAATGAAAATACTAACACACGATCGTTAACAGTAACTACGAATTAATGTACATTAAGTTTTGTTTTGTGATTTTGAGAGTAATTCTATGGGTACACTTTTACATAATGAAAAACGCTATTTAAGAAGTAACTGTCATTTTTCAAATTCAACATTTATAAAACAAATGGTCAAACTTAATGTACCATTCTAACATGAATGACCTAATTGTGAAAATAATAATTAAAGTACAGTGAAAATTACCAAGAATACATCATTGATCTGTCAACCGCTTCTTTTAATAGTGTCATCAATTCAGTTTTAAACTGTATTACAATCATCTCCTTGTACGTGACAAAGACATTTTTTTACCTACAGATATAATAACAGGCATGTAATAAAACGTTTTAAACATCATTATCAGTATTCATGTAAAGTGCTTGCTTATTTGTATACAAATATTGAGAGTTGATAAAAAATAAATAGGTAAGAGTGGTGAATAATAAAGAGAAGACGAAATAATTGGAAGGGTATTCAAACCATAAGAAATAACTACTCTATCAACAGACACGTCGAAACACAAATGTAATTAACAATTATTTTTTATAAATTTCCAAGGATAGGGTATACAAATAAGGGCTACATTATTACAATTATACTGACCAATAAATCAAAGCAAGAACAAAAAAATCAATAAGAAACATTGTTTTCAACATTAATATTTCATACTGACAATTACATGCCATAAAACACTGAAATATTTTGCAGTCAACTGAGTACAAGCATGATAAACAAAACGAAATATCTTTAAGGTTTATACAATTTTTGTAACATTACATTTTCTCTCCCAGCAATGTATATTAATTTTCATTTTAACATCTCTTAAAAACTGTAAATCTGGCAAAGAACATTTCACGAAAAAATAACAAAACAAGGTACCGAAGTTTCCTTACCAAAATCTCAAATAAACAAATAGTTGAAAGATCTTAATTGTTTTCATTAGAATTAAATGAATAATCTAATAAAAGATATCGCACAAATTTTCAGAGTTTACAGTTAAAAAACATCTTTAATGTTCAATACTATCTTTTAAAATGAGAAATATTAAAGGAATTTAGTTACTATTGTCATGAATGTTAATCTCAACAAAAACTAACAACTTAATGGTTTCTACTATTGTAGTAATAATTAATAAAAGTGTAAAACAGAAATATACATAAAAATAAATGGAAGACCAAGTTGGCTTTACCAAAAATAGCAAACTATTTATGATTTCTTGTATAGAATAAAAACATTGTCTGTCAAAGAAATAATGGTTCAAGCTGGTTTGCAAATACATTCAAATGATCACTCACCATCTCAAACAATTTCTGACAGGAAGAAACACTTCTAAAGTACTCAAAAGAAAAGAAAACAAGTAAAGAAGAAAACAAAAGTTGAACTGATCTAAATCGACCAGTCCAGAAATGTGCGAGTAATGTGTCCCTTTCAAAATACGAGTTCAATTTGTTTTGATGTTGTAGTTTTTTTTTTTAGCACAACGATGTACAACGGGCTATCTGTTCTCTGTTTAACAGTGAGGAACTGAACTTCAAACTTAATGTTATAAGTCCGTAAGCTTGCCACTGATCCACCAGGGGGATATTTTGTTTTGAACCAAGGTAATATGATGCTATCATCATGCAGCATGTGCGTATATATATATTTTGGACAAAGAAGTTCTAAGTGTACAAAAATATTGAATAAAAAACCCAAAATCTGATTATTTGTATGCATGTATATAGGCACAGGTAGTTCATAAGTTTTATAAGAGCTTTTTTCTATCATGTTTACCAGAAATTCAGGTACATTAATTTATAAAAATGTTAATATATTATGCTTATATTACTTGTACTTCAAAACTACCTGATAATTTTTAACTGTATTTTTCAGTATAGCACAGCTACCTGAAAATGAAGATTCTTTAAAAATATTACAGTTTCACTTTGGAACTTAGTATGAATAAAACTTTTCAATTCCAATGTTCCACTTTAAAGATTGTGCACTTTGAAACGTATAAGTTATTGGGATTTAAAAAAAATTTTATTCCACAATTTTGAAAATGTAACTACAGCGTATAATATTTCTATCAACTCTCCTGTTTTATGTCATTTAATGGTTTTTGTAGAAATGCTTATTTGACTACTGTACTTACACAAGTAGGTATGAGTGAAGCATATCCTTCCGGTATTATCGAAGGAAAATAAACAGAATCAATAAAAAATTGTTGTATTTATCCTAGCTTTGCATTTTCTCTTGAGTGAAAGTAACTTATCATCATTCACATGCACTTTGGGCATCACATGTGATGCTCATATGAAACTATCTTCTGATTTCATACATTGAATCAAAACAACTAACTCCTATTGCAACGTTCGCAATCATCAGCTGTGTATCAACTAAACGTAGCTGTGTATTAGATATGATACTCAGGTGCTTTAGCATTATGTCCTGTGAATCACATATGACCTACAGGACAGGAATAGGGTTAAAATCAGATCATATATTTATTTGAACAAAAACATTCTGATGAACAGCCAGAAAACTTTGTAATTAATAAACTTTTTTATTAATGGGAATATTTTATTCAAATATAATGAAAATAATCTGAGATTCTTTGGTGATGTTTTTATTTGTTTTTAGTGATGTTTGGTGATGTTTTTACTTGTTTTTAGTGATGTTTGGTGATGTTTTTACTTGTTTTAGCTTGTTTTTAGTGATGTTTGGTGATGTTTTTACTTGTTTTAGCTTGTTTTTAGTGATGTTTTTACTTGTTTTAACTCTTCTCTGTAGAAGATCAAACTTAATATATGCTTTATCATACATTTAACAGTCAATAGTCTGATTGCCTAGAATCTCTAATAAAAATACAGAAATTACCCTTAGAATCAAATTGGTAACTAAAGCACATAAATATCATGTATTATATTTAACATAGGTTATCTACTGTGCTCAGCAGGAATGTTGGAATAAGTTAGTGTACAATAATACTTGTATGTTATTTGGAAAAGAAACATCTTCAAGAACTAGTGATTGCTACAAATAGTTTTGTTAGATAAATATAATTCTAATGTATGGACTTTCTCATTTTGAGAATTCAAATGAAGATGACACTTTCTGTACACATTCTACAAGAAGAATAGTAAAAAGCTTAATAGGTCACAGTTGTCTAGCTGAACGTTCATAAAACAACTAACTCGGTATAACTGTCTAGGTTTTGTTAAAAACTGTAGGTAACAGTACAGATGTTAAATACTTTTATATAAAGATTATTCTCTGACCAATATAAGTACATTTGTCCAGTCATAAATCATTATAGCAAGTTTTTAACAGTTCTCTATGCTGTTGTTTTTAAACAAATAAACATTCAGTGAGGTTCAGAACAATTAACTTTGTTAACCTAGAGGTGATAAAAGTGTGGCTTAGTGGCATTGTTAGCATTGCCAGCCAGAGGATAACAATGTGACCTGGTAAACTATAAGTATTGTTAATCTACAAGTGATAAAATTGTAGTTTAGTGATATTGTTAACACTGCCAATCAGACGATAACAGCGTGACCTTGTAAGCTATAAGCATTTTTAACCTAAAGGCATTGTAGAATAATTATGAATTTTGTCAATTGGCAGGTTAAACAGCTGCTTAGTATCAGAACAGTATGGCTAGTATCAATCTTAGTTTCATCACTGAGGGGGTAATATAAGGAGGCTTAATATGATTGCAAGCTTTGTTAACCAGGAGCTACTCTGTAAGTGAAAACGCAGTTTAAACCATATTAAAAAATGTAACTACATGTAAGACATGCATTCTATTCCTTTCCATCTTTTTATATTTCTAGCCTGAATCAATACACGTTTCAAACATCTAATTGGAACGAGCCGTGTGCCATAACTGAACAAAATAAGCTCTGTAACAGCACTTTAATTACTACTGTGTTGTATTTTAGAGTAGCCCTCAACATGAGGTACCAATAAGTAAACTTGTTTTTTCTAGTTATAAATTAATTATTTAATAAAATGTTTAATAGTAAACAAGAATATCAAAACAAGTTAAGCAAAACTTACACAACGAAAATAAAATGTTTAAATGAAATTGTTGTGGAAACGCAACCGTTTAGGAGTTTAGTCACAAAACTGAAAACAATATTTTGGAACTGACTAGTTTTCATGACAATCAATACAGCCAAATATCTGTGTGAGAAACAGGATACTAATCTGGTATCCTTTAATGTACATCCGCACATTTAACTTACTTCTACAATAAGAGGAGTTCTATCCCCTGATTGGTTGTATTACAGAATCTCTTCAGGTATTTCATTCTTCCAAAATTACTTTCATTATATTTATATAAATACAAATTACATGCCTATTTTTTCAATTAAGTTTTGGTTTTGTGTGACAAGAAAGAATCATCTCTTTATATAAATTAGTAGGATATATTTTCATCATACGATACTTATTTCACACAATATATCATTACAAAAACTGAAATATCCTACATCTATAGTAGCTTTTAGTTTGTTTAAATAACATTTTCATCAGATGAAGAAAATCTTATTCCTCTACACTTCTATCCAATTCATATTACATCCCCTTACCGATGGTAGACGAACAATGAAATACAATATTTCATTAGGCTGAACTTTGAACTTAAACACTCTTAAATAGCTATTACATGTACATTTTTAGCAATTAAGAGGAGAGAGCTCCATATTTTCATCATCATCACTTAACAAGTGCCCATTTTTAGATGTCTGCTTACCTCCCTGTACAATGTTTAATACTCGACTAAGATTATAACTTAGCACAGAGCCTTTAAGTTCGGGAATTTCAATGTCATCAAGGCCTCGATGGATTGATATGTCATCCCATTCAGATGAATACAGCTGTGATTTTTTTAGTATTTCTTGGTATTCAAAGGTCTGAAGACTTTGTCTTGTTGGCTTACGATAGCTATGGCACAAGAATCATAAAAATATTAAAGACAGAAATAAATGTATTACATAAATCTGGACTAAAATGAATAAACATGAAAAGAGAGCAAGTTTCATAAACTCACCATATAGTAAACTAAATTAATTTAGGTGTGTAAATAATATTGTGGTTTTGTACCAAATTTATCATTCAATACTATACACTGCACCAACGTTTTAATGATTACATTACAGATTTCTACTCATTTCATCAAAGTAAAACTGAAAATATAATTTGTGACGTAGAGGCTTAATACATTATTTGTTTTGTCGTACACTCTGCTGTAGACTGCCGTTTCACCTTTTCAAGATTCAAAAGAAATACAGTTAGGCCTCTGATAATGGTGATGTGTAGATAATATTTGTGTGTGTTATGTAATATATGTCACAGATAACATTTTCAGTTTTACTTAACGTAACTACCTAAAATAGGAAAAATATTTCTTATATTTTATAGAAGAACCAATTACCTAAAACTGTTTAACCCTCTCACTCCAACTATACGTTACTGGAAATGTCATGAGGTTTTAGTGACCTGCATTCACATTTTAATTAAACTACTTTTTGTTTATTTTATGCCAATTAGCATAGCATAAAATCATAGCTAATAATCCATATTTTAATATCATACAAGCTTTAAGTTCTCAATTTTATAAGGCAATATTTTTAAAAATCCTGAATATCCCCTAGTGTGAGAAATGACATTTTCTCTAAGCATCCCCTCTACTCTATCTTATTCACCACCCCTCCAATAAACATAAAATTTAATGCACATTACTCACTAATAAAATCATCATTACTCAGACAAACCATAATTTTTATAGACTTCAATCTTGTTTGGTTACTTAGCAATCAAATAGAAAATCAAACCTCTCTTGCCACACCCACCTGTCACATCCTCTCTTTCAGAATTTGTTAGTAGTTCTCAGTTTCATTTAATAAACAAAAGTTAACATGAAACTTCTGTTATTTTCTCATACTTAAACAGTTTTAGATAAATCATTCTTCTATGAAATACAAGAAATGTTTTTTTTTTCCCATTTTAGTCAGTTATATTAATATAATAAGATATGGCTGCAGGGGGGCAATTTTCCTATGGGGGCATTTGTCAGGTTACCATTTATAATTAGCTCTTGATAATCAAGAAATCTTTATTTTCTAACTAAGTGCCACAAATATTCTACATTTATATTTTGTATACATGGATACTAAAACACTGTAGTACAGTAAGATCCTTTGATAACAATCTTGCTGGTTAACTCCTATATAGAAACAAATAAATACAAAATAATTTTTGAAAGATATACTGATAATTGTTATCTAACAGAATTAATACATCTTGAATTTTAATTTCAGTTATTTGCAAATACTTTCTTTATCTTAACAGAATGCATGTTATTTTTTATTTTTAAGGAGTAGATTCCACTGAGGTAAAAGACTATAAATAAAGTTTTTGTTAGTTGGATTTGACACAAGGGCTGTCTGCATTAGATGTCTTTAATTTTGCAGTGACAGACTTGAAGGAAGGCTGCTAATACCAACAGCCACTCTTGTTTGTTTGTGGTAATGGGAAGCAAACAATGAAACTAACATCTGGGCCATTTTCACCCCAAATAAAAAGATAAACTGAATATTGTCCCAAAACGCAAGGGCACAGAAGTATCAAAGCTTTGAATTTAACTATATTCTAAAAACCTTTTACTTTTGAAAAAAAATACTAATGTTAAGTTGGTTATCTAACCTATGGTTGAGTGGACATAATACATTTCTTGAACATATTGGTATAAGAACTCTTTTGAATAAAAATAAACAGTAATAAATAAACACTGAAATTGTGCGAGACAGTTTGTACATGACAACATTACAATTTCAAACATAGTTAAAAAATATGGAAATATCATTACTAAACTGCATGACTAACCATTACAAGTTGTGGATCATAAGAATTAAAATGAAAATAATAAACACATTGTAACTGTATTAGGGTTCAGAAAAAATAAAAACTTTAAGGTAACATCTAATAAAAGTCAACTGGTCACGGTTTGGCCAGTAAGTCGAATGTAATTTATGATAACAGAAATAAGGTTTAGTCATTCCCAGCTCTATTTCAATGCAAACAAAACTTAAAATACAAGGAACTGGGTATTATTATAACCTAATCAAACTTAAAGAATGATATTACAATTTCAAAATTACAAACCAATAAATATTTCTATACAAAGCTTACTGTCTCAAAATAATAATTTGTTTAGTTACAATTGCAAGCACAATTAATGGGAAACATTAGGAAAGCAGTTATTTGATGTGATATGACCGAGTTTTAAATCTGTTTCCACTAGTACACAAATACCACGTTCATTTAGCAGTGACAGTTTATTTGTAACCTTATAATTATTAATTACTCATTAATTCACCTTAAAATGCAGTTTTAAACCTTAAATCGTTTATGAAAAAAATAAATATTCTATATATTTTGTGGCTCAAGCACAAATTTAATCCATGAATGTTGACTAATAAAAATAGCACTTGTCAAAATCCATATATAGTATTGGCCCAATAGTTCAATCTCGAATATAAGGTGACCTCCATTTTGTAAAACCACGGGAAAGAAAAAATTGAGTGTCATAATGTCCTTTTTTAGGTCTGCAAAATCAATACTATAACTGAACAGTCAGCAGGTGGATTAGTTGCAAGAATTAGTGAACATCTGGCATGCATGCATAAACAGATGTTATCTGAACATCCAGGAATGCATCAGGCAAGAGTGGGGGGAAGGGACCCGTGTCCAGCTTAAATTATAAGGTGACTATGAATCTCACAGCCTAATCATTAATCAAAAAACATCACCTTATAATCGAGCCAATACAGTATTATCTATGGGTTAATATCTAAATTAAGTAAAGATAAAAGTGTAACTTACAGTTTTAAAAGCAAAGAGGAGCACACTACAGACACTGAGGATGCAGCCATTGCAGCCGATCCCATCCAAGGTTTAAGTACAAGCCCAAATGGCATAAAAACACCTGAAAGATTCAACAAAAATTCATAAACTGTAACAAAACCAATAAATCTCAGTTAATCAAGTAGTTAAACTGTTTTCTCTAAAAAACTGTAACAGGAGATACACTGTTTTACTGGTATTTTAGTCTGAAGTGAAAGCAGCTTATGTACACAAGCCTTATGACACTTTTCCAGATGGAGATCCTTCTAGATTACGTTATGTACTGTTGACTGGGCTATGTCTATGGCTTCTGTCACCAGCCTTTCTTTTCATGGGTTCTCACCTTTTACAAGATACAACCTTTTCATTACCACAGTTGGGGTAAGACTTGTTGCAAGTCTCTTTTCTGGGTTGTCCTGGTGCTCCAAATTGATCTATGTTTCCTTTATTTTCCAATGCTATTTAATTAAATTGGATATGCCCATCTTAATTATTCTAAATCCCTAATTTGAACATATCTTAATAATAAGAGTTTATTAATATTTTTCATTGGAAAGGGCTGTTAAATTTTCTATCCAAAAGCAATCAATTTCTGGCGGTATCAAACTACTTATGAAATGCCAAATAATGTCAAAATGCAATTCTAATACATTTCATTCCATTGTGACTTTACATCATCTGTGATTGTCACACCTTAAAGATGTATATAATTGAAAATATTTTTAATATAATGTACTCAACCCTCTGTATATGTATAAAATCAAATACACGAAATGAAGTTTTTGACATAAAATATAAATTGATGACATTTTAAAGTGACACTAATTTCTAAACAAAATTGTCACTTTTGTACAATTCTACAGTTATTTTACTGAGTTCATTAAGGTAAATGTAGACAGGATTAAAAAACTGTACAGATGTGAAACAGAAGAACGAAAAGGTAAATAAAAATCTACTACAATAAAGATAAGGTATTATGCATTAGGTATAAAACAGTTAGGTAAACTACTTACAAAATTAACTAACATATAAAAGGTATCTGCTCAGATTTGAAAACAATACTTTAAAATCAATATACCAATATACAGACTGGATGAATTGTAAAATAAAACACATTTATTGTTAAGAGAAAAATTAAAGAGAATGTGTTAAATAAAATAATAAAATCTAAAAAACAATGCACATTTAAAACAAGGTGCAAATTACTAACTTCAACAGTGACATTAACAACATTTGAAATGTTTGAACATTCACATCATTTCTAACAGAGAGAGACAATCATTATGTTAACAAATACCTGTAGCAATAGGAATTCCAAGAAGGTTATAAGGTTAATCATGTCATTTCAAACAGAGGCACGATCATTATATTAATACATACCTGCAGCAATAGGAATTCCAAGAAGGTTATTCACATAATTTCTAACAGAGACACAATCATTATGTTAACAAATACCTGTAGCAATAGGAATTCCAAGAAGGTTATAAGGTTATTCATGTCATTTCAAACAGAGGCACGATCATTATATTAATACATACCTGCAGCAATAGGAATTCCAAGAAGGTTATAAATGCTTGCAAAAAGAAAGTTCAGACGAATACGATGGACTGTTCTGTGAGATAAGTCGATTGCTCCAACAACATCCAGTAAATCATTCTACAAAAAAATTAGTTTCAATTGCATTTAGTTTTCTTATAACATCATTAGAACTTAGGCAGGTAACACATCTAAGAAAAATAATCAATCATACTCTCAAACATCCTGAAAAAAAAAAGGGACTTAACAAACACACTGTTTGAAACACAACACATATTTTCTTAAAAATAAATTTGTAATTTGATCATGCCTTAATAAATAATTGTACTGTTATCTAATGGTAAAGCCTGGCCATAAAAAAGTATCTTGTACCTTAACTTGGTTCATAATGAAACTAGTTACAATGTAAGCATCAGGGATATTACATTATTCAAATGCAGATGTTAAACTAGTTAGCAGTCATGGAGAACCAATCAGGTGTTAGTTGTGGGAAGGCAGTCACCTCCAATCTTTAGACAAAGAAAAGCCTTGTAGTAAAAGTAAACCACTTTATATTTCTACAATTTTAAGACTCCCAACCTCCACCATTTTTAATGAGTATTATCAAATAATGTTAAGTAAAGTAATCATTTCAACATTTTGATATAGAAATAACTTTGTAGCAGAAATAAACCACGCTGTGTCTACTTTTGTAAGACTCCATCCTTTTAATAATTATTACAAAATGATGTTCATTGGTGTTAAACAGAACAAAGATAAGGACTGCAGACGGAGAAAAGCATTAAGAGTTCAGACAATGTAGGTTTAAGCACTCAACTCCTAACCCCTAATTGATTCTCTGTGACTACTAACTAGTTCGACATTTGTGTTTGAATCATGTCCAATATTTAAGTCACATTAGGAACATTTTGGCCTTGATTTGTGTGTGTTTATATATATATATATATACACACACACACTATATAGTATTTGAATTTTATAGTTAAGTTAATATTTGAAATTAGCTGTTGGAATAAAGGGTGATGCATTGGATTAGCTCAATAAAAGGTAAACAGTAACTTGTGATTTGATGAGTATTTGGATAAAGCCATCAAAATATAAATAGTAACTCCTGATGTGGCAAATACTGGATAAGGCCAACAAAAGTATGCATAATAAATACTGATGTGATGAGTATTAGTTAAGGATAACAAAAGCTTTGGTAATAAATGGTAAGGCAATGAGCATTGGATAAAGTCATCAAAATGTAAGCAGTGATTTGTGACAAAACCATGGGTAATAAATAGGAATGTGATAAGTATAATCCTATGTGATAAAACCCACAAAGGGTAAGTAGAATTCTTCTTTTCATATTAAATGTGATAAGTTCACCTTTAGTGTTTTTCGGCACACACAAATATTACAATAACTAACTGAACTAAATACATTGTAATAAATCTACATCTTTTATGTACTGTGTACGTTAAGCTACATCTTTTATGTACTGTGTACGTTAAGCTTGTTCCACTTATATAAAACAAATGTATTTTAAAACCTAAATGTACGAAAAATGATTTTTAATGCAAGAAAAAATTTCATGCAACAAAATGAAAATTTCAGGAAACACAGATTAACAACAACAACAACAAAAGAATTAAAATCGTTATTTTTTCTTACAGTGGTATTCAAATTTTAGATATTCTATAGCAAATTATATAAATGTATGTTTGACCATATGAAAGCTGGTCTTTAATTGCACAGCCAACTCTCCTGCATCAATTAATCAAGTTTATGGTGTCAGCTGATTGTGATGATAAAATGTTATTACATACATGTAATAATAATTAGCAAGTATCCTATGGTTTGATGGCTAATCTGCTGCCATCTTCAAGGATGAACTGATGTGTGATGATAAGAACTGATGTGTGATGATAAGAACTGTGTGTGATGATAAGAACTGTGTGTGTGATGATAAGAACTGATGTGGGATGATAAGAACTCTGTGTGATGATAAGAACTGTGTGTGTGATGATAAGAAATTATAATCTACAATTTGATACCAAACTTACTGATATACATTCATTAAACAGAAATTCAATAAAATTTTGAATACAAGTCTACAAATGCGATGACATGGCCTTTGACCCATGACCATAGGAAGACTCGTAGAGATAGTATTAACTCTTTTACAACTGAATCAGTGAATTACACTGACCAAATGACCCCAAAGTGACCAAAGTTTCCATACTATAACTCTTAAAATGTTGTGTATCTGAAAATGTTTCAATCATTTAGTAAACATTACAAATCTTTTGTAGTAAAAAAACTAAGGGTGGGGAAAGTAAGTTTTAGAACACAGAAGCACTTAAAGAACCAAGGGTTGGGAAAGTAGGTTTTAGAACACAGAAGCACTTAAAGAACCAAGGGTGGGGAAAGTAGGTTTTAGAACACAGAAGCACTTAAAGAACCAAGGGTGGGGAAAGTAGGTTTTAGAACACAGAAGCACTTAAAGAACCAAGGGTGGGGAAAGTAGGTTTTAGAACACAGAAGCACTATATGCACTTGTGATTGTTAAAAACAACAAAGAACTTCAAGTACTGAGAGATCACTGATAATTATCATACATTATGTAATAAAGACAGGTAGATAAAAAAAGCTTGAACCTATTTGATAAAGTACATAAAAAAATGCATAGTTAATAAACTGTGTTTATTTTTTTGCTATCAAGGCCTTTCTTTAATAAATATGGTTAACGTGACATTTAATAAATATGGTTAACGTGACATTTAATAAATATGGTTAACATGACATTTAATAAATATGGTTAACATGACATTTAATAAATATGATTAACATGACATTTAATAAATATGATTAACATGGCATTTAATAAATATGATTAACATGACATTTAATAAATATGATTAACATGACATTTAATAAATATGATTAACATGACATTTAATAAATATGATTAACATGACATTTAATAAATATGGTTAACGTGACATTTAATAAATATGGTTAACGTGACATTTAATAAATATGGTTAACGTGACATTTAATAAATATGGTTAACGTGACATTTAATAAATATGATTAACATGACATTTAATAAATATGGTTAACGTGACATTTAATAAATATGGTTAACGTGACATTTAATAAATATGGTTAACGTGACATTTAATAAATATGGTTAACATGACATTTAATAAATATGGTTAACATGACATTTAATAAATATGATTAACATGACATTTAATAAATATGGTTAACGTGACATTTAATAAATATGGTTAACATGACATTTAATAAATATGGTTAACATGACATTTAATAAATATGGTTAACATGACATTTAATAAATATGGTTAACATGACATTTAATATGTATGGTTAACGTGACATTTAATAAATATGGTTAACATGACATTTAATAAATATGATTAACATGACATTTAATAAATATGGTTAACATGACATTTAATAAATATGGTTAACATGACATTTAATAAATATGGTTAACATGACATTTATTTTACTCTTTTCTCACTCCACCTCAGGTCATATATTTCAACAATGTTTGATAATTTTTAATTACGAGAATTATGGATGGTCCCTAAATAAAAAACATTTGCTTAATGTTCTAAAGAAATCATAAGTACAAAAATGTTTTATAGATGTTTATACCCTGATGAGAACAACATCAGCAGCTTCCACAGCTACATCAGTTCCATTAGCAATAGCAATTCCTACGTTAGCTTTAGCTAAAGCCGGAGAATCATTAACTCCATCCCCAACCATGGCTACTTTGATACCCTTTTTCTGTAACTGTTCCACTTTCATCACCTTGTGGGATGGAAGGACTTCTGCAAACACTCGAGTGATGCCGACCTGAAAGACCAAGCAACTTACTAATGAAAGGCAAAACACAAACAAGATAATTTTCAATCACTTAAACCTATTCATGTGTTTTAAACATACTATTAAATGCAAACTGTCTTTACAGATGACTCAAAATATATATACGAATACCATATCTATTAATAGTTAATATTACATAGGGAAGTAACTGCATTATGCTAATTGTTCTTGAAAGCATCATAAATTTTAAACTGGAAATGGTGGTATCTGGTACTTATAAACAAATTGAAAATGGTATTCTTTGGAACTTTTTATCTTCATACACAACACTGCATGAATTTAATGATTCAAAACTATTAAGAATCACTAACTTCCAAATAATTATCCATCAAGTCTGCATGATCAAATTGTTTTTTGTGTATTATAATACAGATATCTTTAAGCTGTCAAATGAATACTGATATACACAGCATTCGTACACACGAAAAACAGTATTAGATAGATGACAAGAGGATCATTACAAACGAACTCTACTTCTCGCACGTTTTGCCATTTTTGTCTAAATTACACATGAGAATTTGTAGATATTTATATATATATTAATATATTCCTAATATAATAACTGATATTTGGAGAAACACAATACACACAAACCCCAGTAATAACATTAACAGTATGGTGAAACGAAAAAAATTGCTTATTTTATGAGATGGACTGATGGCAAACATATTATAATAGATTTTAAAGAATTTAAGAAAGCACATGAACAAGAAACTTGTTGCACTATACTTGTCTGGCTATAGCAGCAGCAGTCTTTTTGTTGTCACCTGTCAGTAGAATCACATCCAGTCCCATCTTTTTCAGCGTGTACACAGCAAGATGGGCTTCTGGTTTCACAGTATCAGCTACAGCCATTACACAGACAATGGCACCTAGAAATATATGGTTTTACTTTGGCATCTACAACCAATCTACAAACAAATGGTATAATTTACAGATTCTAATGCCAGTCATACCCATCATATCAAAATCTAATGAAGTTATATTCAGCTATTTTTTATCATTAGCACAAGACATAAATCCAAAAGAACATGAAGGAATAATAGAATTAGTAGATTTTACTCTTTTGTTTACAATTATTACAAATATCTGGAAATGGTATGTTCTATTTGTTCTGCTGAAGCCATTCAACATTTAAAACGACCTAAGAATCATGAAATTAACAAGTGTTGAGTGTACTGCACAACTTTTCAAAACAGGGATACTTAGTAAGAATAAAGATAATACAATGCCCTTCAGGACTAAAATCAACAAACTTTGGTGACAGTAGAAATCACAGTTAATGAAAGATTGTGTAATTAATGAGTAGTAATTAGCAAGTTATAAAGACAAAAATCTGATTAAATGCTAGAGATCAATAATACTGTTAAATTGTCAATAAAAATGCCTTGTTCTAATTATAGTAGAGGTACAAATGGTTTCACAGTCAGATGCAGTTGTTACACTGACAGAAAACCTAGTGACGGGCAAATTACAACAGATTAAACTGTAATTGTTCTGGAAAATACATAGTAAAATGGTGACAAGTAACAGGTTTTGTTACGTTTGTTCAGACGTTACATAGAAAGATAGGAATAATGAAACATAAGAATGGTGATAAGTAACAGATTTTGTTACGTTTGTTGCAGACATTACATAGAAAGATAGTAATAATGAAACATAAAAATGGTGATAAGTAACAGGTTTTCTTATGTTTGTTGCAGACGTTACATAGTTACATAGAAAGATAGGAATAATGAAACATAAAAATGGTGATAAGTAACAGATTTTGTTACGTTTGTTGCAGACATTACATAGAAAGATAGTAATAATGAAACATAAAAATGGTGATAAGTAACAGGTTTTCTTATGTTTGTTGC